CATCATCATCATCATCATCATCATCATCAGCATCATCATATTCATCATCATAATCATCATCATCATCATCATCATCATCATCATCATCATCATCATCATCATCATCATCATCATCATCATCATCATCATCATCATCATCATCATCATCATCATCATCATCATCATCATCATCATCATCATCATCATCATGATCATGATCATGATCATCATCATCATCATCATCAGCATCATCATCAGCATCATCATCATCATCATCATCATCATCATTATCATCATCATCATCCTCCTCCTCATCATCATCATCATCAGCAGCAGCAGCATCATCATATTCATCATCATACTCAGCATCATCATCATCATCATCAGCATCAGCATCAGCATCAGCATCATCATCATCATCAGCAGCATCATCAGCATCATCATCATCAGCATCATCATCAGCATCATCATCAGCATCATCAGCATCAGCAGCATCATCAGCATCATCATCATCAGCATCAGCATCAACTTCCTCCTCCTCTCCCTCCTCCTCCTCCTCCTCATCCGTCTCCTCCTCTTCCTCCTACTGCTTCTCCTCCTCCTTCTCCGCCTACTCGTCCTCTTCTGCCTCCTCCTCCGCCTCCTCCGCCTCCTCCTTCTCCGCCTCCTCCTCCTCCTTCTCCTCCTCCTCCTCCTCTGCCTCCTCGCCCCCCTCATCCTCTTCCTCCTCATCCTTCTCCTCGTCCTCCTTCTCCTCCTCTTCACCGTCCTCCTCGTCCGCGTATTAGTCATCCTCCTCCTCCTCCTCCTCCTCCTCCTCCTCCTCATCAGCATCATCATCATCAGCAGCATCCTCATCCTCATCTTCTTGTTATTATTAGTATGGGTTTCGTCATCGTGTTATTAGTCTTATTCATAGAATTACTATTACGATTCGTCTTCGCGTGTTTCTTAGTAGTAGTGCGCGTAGTGTTATTAGTCGTATGATTAGGAGTCGTCGTCTTCTTCTCATTGCTAGTATGATTACTCTTAGTCTTGCTCTTCGTATTCTGATTACGTAGTATTCGCAGTATGAGTAGTGCTCTTCTGGTGTCGTGCTGGTGTTCGTACTATTGCCCGTCGCATCACTATTAGTACTACCGGTAGTAGCAATGCTCGTCGTAGTAGCAGTAGTAGTAGTAGTAGTAGTAGTTTTGGTAGTGTTATACTGCTGTAGTATTATGACCAGCAGTATGAGTATTACTAGTACTTTTATTATTAGTCGTAGTATCAGTACTGTTAGTATTCAAATTACGAAGATGAGTATTACTATTGCTGTTACGAGTAATAATAATGTTCGCGTCAATGTTCGTATCATTACTCGTCTTCTTATTAGTATGATTGGTCTTATTCGTAGTAGTACTCGTATACGTATGCGTCTTCAGTTTCGGATGTTTCTTAGTATGCGTATTATTCCTATGCGTGTTATCCTTGCTCTTCCTCCTCCTCCTATTCCTCCTCCTCCTCCCCCTTCCGCCTCCTCCTCCTCTTCCTCCTCCTCCTCCCCCTCCTCCTCCTCCGCCTCACCCTCCTCCTCCTCCTCCTCCTCCTCCTCCTCCTCCTGCTGCCCCTCCCCCTCCCCCTCCTCCTCCTCCTCCTCCTCTTCCTCCCCCTGTTCCTCCTCCTCTTCCTCCTCCTCTCATCCTCCTCCTCCTCCCCTCCCTCCCGCTCCTCCGCCTCCTCCGCCTCCTCCTCCTCCTCCGCCTCCTCGTTCCCCTCCTCCTCCTCTTCTTCCCCTCGTCCTTCGTCTCTACTCCTCCTCCTCCTCCTCCTCCTCCCTCCTCCTCCTCGTCTCCTCCTCATCCTCCTCATCCTCCTCCTCCTTCCCCTCCTCCTCGTCTACTCCTCCTCCTCCTCTCTCCCCCTCTTCCCCCTCCTCCTTATCCTCCTCCTTCTCCTGCCTCTCCGCCTCCCCCTCCTCCTCCTCGTTTCATATTCCTCCTCCTCCCCCTCCCTCTCCTCCTCCTCCTCCTCCTCCTCCTCCTCCTCCTCCTCCTTCCTCCGCCTCCTCTTCCTCCTCCGCCTCATCCTCCTCCTCTTCCTCGCCTCCTCCTCCGCCGCCTCCTCCTCCTCTTCCCCCTCCACCCCCTCCTCCTCCTCACCTCCTCCTCCTCCTCCTCCTCCTCCTCCTCCTCCTCCTCCTCCTCCTCCTCCTCCTCCCTCCTCCTCCGCCCCCTCCTCCTCCTCCTCCCTCCTCCTCCTCCTCCTCCTCCTCCTCCTCCTCCTCCTTCCTCCGCCTCCTCTTCATCCTCCTCCTCCTCCTCCTCCTCCTCCTCCTCCTCCTCCGCCTCCTCCTCCTCCTCCACCCCCTCCTCCTCCTCTCCTCCTCCTCCTCCTCCTCCTCCTCCTCCTCCTTCCTCCTCCTCCCCTCCTCCCTCCTCCTCCTCCTCCTCCTCCTCCTCCTCCTCCTCCTCTTTTTCTTCCTCCTCCTCATGGACGGAAGGGGCCCTGGGAAACTGGGCCTGAGGCCAGTATTCCTCAATCTCCGTCCGCATCCACGGCAGCCTTCAGACTGGCGAGCGGCCCAATGTCCGTCGTTGACCGCGCGGACCAACCACAGCTTGGCGCCACTCGGTGACGATCATATGGGTTAGTGTAGTCCCAATCGAAGGGGTTCAGTATGGAATAGCCCTCCTCCTCCATCACCCTCCTGCTGATGTATGGCCACCACTCTTTTGGGGGGGCCGCCGCATCCTCCCCTGTCGCTGGCTCGTCTCCCCGAGCTTGTAGGGGTTCTGCGGCGGAGGTAATTCGTCTTCTGGACGTGGGCAACCAAGCGAAGACCGCCATGATGTTGCTATGGAATGCAGTTCTACCCTGGAGAGCATATTCTCTGCGTTGGGCAATCGCTTCAGCATGGGTCCCCAACCATTTATCATGCGGCCTGCGCTGCATGCGATCAGCGTCTGCCCCAGTCTATTTCTCCGGCCCGATGTCATGGACATCGCCCAGACGAATCTTCTTCTCCAGGCCAAAATCCTCGTAGACGACCTTCGGATTGATTTCTGATTAGCGTCGACGATGCAGGTCCCATACTGCACTGTAGTCCGACATGCGAAGCACATCGGTGTCCCGATCCGACTACGGCAATCGCTGCAGCACAGAAAGGTTCCGTCTTCCCAAAAGTGAGACGCGCGCATGGCGCGTCCATCTTGCCCGTGGAAGCAAGCTCATCGCCGTCGTCCTCGCTGGGCAGGCGGCGCATCTGACAATTCTGCCTCGCATAATCAACGCGGGCCGAGCCGAGCTCGGGATGGACCGGCAGGGCCGCGAACCGTCGGTCATAGACTAACGTCCACGACGCCCGCGCATGCAATATACCCGACACAATAATCAGCATTAGTAGCACCCCGCAATTGCGGATAAAAGCGAAGGGGCGGGCGCGGGCGACGCGGGCGTCGAGCCGGCGGACCGCGCCGGCGCCGAATTTTTGGCTTGTTCAGTGAACGTAGTTTGGGTCGCGGGTGGGTCCTGGGCTCTCCATTTCCACCTGGAAGGAGTTTTTTTTTTTTTTTTTTTTTTTTTTTTTTTTTTTTTTTTTTTTTTTTTTTTTTTTTTTTTAAAAAAAAAAAAAAAAAAAAAAAAAAAAAAAAAAAAAAAAAAAAAAAAAAAAAAAAAAAAAAAAAAAAAAAAAAAAAAAAAAAAAAAAAAAAAAAAAAAAAAAAAAAAAAAAAAAAAAAAAAAAAAAAAAAACGCCACAGGCGCCGATAATTTTGGTTTGCACACTGAACGCGGGTTGGCTCGCAGGCTCTCCACCTGGAACGAATGCAAAAGAAACCCGCCGCACGCGCCGAAGCTTTGGTTTGTTCAATGGACGTAGTTTGGGTCGCGGGTGGGTCACGGGCTCCCCACCTCCACCTGGAAAAAAATCAGAAACAGCCCGCTGCAGGCGCCGAACAGTTTGATTTGTACACTGAACGCGCTTTGGGTCGCGGGTGGTCGCAAGTTCTGCACCTGAAACGAATGCAATAGAAACCCGCCGCAATCGCCGAAAATTTTGGGTGGGTCGTGGGGTGGGTCGCAGGTAGGTCGCAGGTGTGTCGCGGTGGGTCGCGGGTGGGTCGCGGGCGCGGTTTGGGTCACGGGCGGGTCGCAGGTTTTCCACCTGGAACGACTGCAAAAGAAACCCGCCGCATGCACCGAAAACTTTGGGTGGGTCGCGGGGTGGGTCGCGGGTGACTCGCGTGTGTCGCGGGGTGTCGCGGGTGGGTCGCGGGCGGGTCGCGGGTGGGTCGCGGGTGGGTCGCGGGTGGGTCGCGGGTGGGTCGCCGGTGGGTCGCCGGTGGGTCGCCGGGGGGGTCTCGGGGTGGGTCGCGGGGCGGGTCGCGGGTGGGGTCGCGGGTGGGTCGCAGGTGGGTCGCGGGTGGGTCGCCGGTGGGTCGCGGGTGGGTCGCGGGGTGGGTCGCGGGTGGTTCGCGGGTGGGTCGGGAGGCGAGTCGCGGGCGGGTCGCGGGGCGGGTCGCGGGTGGGACGACGACAACAACAAACAACAAACAACGAACAACAAACAACAAACAACAAACAGCAAACAACAAACAACAAACAAGACATAACAAACAACAAACAACAAACAACAAACACAACAAACACAACAACAACAACAACAAGAAGAATCCGCATCGCGGAATTACACTTCGGCCACGCGCCCAGGGACAGTGAATGGCCGTTCGGTTCAGCCCTTCCATCGCAGGCGCGAGAGCTCTGACTACATCTCCTAGGAGATTGGCGCATCCGGCGTGGATGCTGGAAGTGACCTCGAGCGACGGGCCGCCTGCCAGGAAACATGTGCCTCTCGCGCGCTTCAGCGCATGCTGGGTGCAGGGGTCCAGGGCCCC